CGACTACAGAATTGATTACCCCCAAACTTGATTTGTTCCTCGGATCCTTGGGAAGAACTGCGTATGATGCTTGTGGCCCTACGAATATTCTGCATATGGCTCGGCGATGGTATGGGAGGCCCCCATGAGTTGCCACCCGAACATGGTTGATGCAGCCTCGGCTCGCACGGCTCCTCCTCCTCCTCCTCCTCCTACTCCTCCTCGTCCTCCTCCTCCTTCTCTTCTCTTCCTCCTCCTCCTTCTTCTCCCTCCTCCTCCTCCGCCTCCTCCCCGCCTCCTCTCCTCCTCCGCCTCCTCTTCCTCCTCTTCTCCTCTCCTTCCCTTCCCTTCCTCCTCCTTCCTCCTCTCCTCTTCTTTCTCCCTCCTTCCTCCTCTCCTCCTCCTCCTCCTCCTTCTCCCTCCTCTTCTTCCTCCCTTCTCCTTCCCCTCCTCCCCCTCCTCCTCTTTCCTCCGTCCTCCTCCTCCTCCTCCTCCTTCTCTTCCTCATCCTCCTCCTCTTTCCGCCGCAGCCTCCGCTCGCACGGCTCCTCCTCCTCCCTCCTACTCCTACTCCTCCTCCTCCTCTCCTCCTCCTCCTCCTCTCCTCCTCCTCCTCCTTCTCTCTCTTCTCCCTTCTCTCCGCCTCCCTCCCTCCTCCTCTCCTCCCTCCTCCCGCCTCCCTCCTCCTCCTCCCCTCCTCCTCCTCCTCCTCCTCCTCCTCCTCCTCCTCCTCCTCCTCCTCTTCCTCCTCCTCCTCCTCCTCCTCTTCTCCTCCTCCTCCTCCTCCTTTCCGTGCTCCTCCTCCTTCTCCTCCTCCTCCTCCTTCTCTTTCTCCTCCTCCTCCTCCTCCTCCTCCTCCTCCTCCTCCTCCTCCTCCTCCTCCTCCTCCCGCTCGCAGCCCGGGCGACCGCCTCTCACACATGCGCCCACGAGCCTGCTCCCCCTTGTTCTTTGCATGCTCGGACCCCCTGCCGGAGCGGGCGGCTGCGGGCCACGCCTGCAGGGGCTGGGCCCCGGGCTCGGCAGCAAACCATGGGAGCCTCGTGTACCCTCGCAATTCTCGGGCGATCGCAGAATTGGATCAAGGGGGCGTGGATGAGCGACGGGCCCCGTTTCCATGGGAAGTGGCGGATTTCCGCCGCCGAGCGCGGCGGCACCGGCGGCATTTTGGGCAGGACACCTCCCCCGATCCGTGGATTTGGCGACCGCGCGCCAAATCCTTGTGTCGCTACTCCATGTTTGCGCGCCCCCGATATTCAGGAGGGAAAGATACCGGTACCGCTGCCCTTCCCTCGTTTTCGCCTTTTTGGGCCTCCTGTGAGGCCCTCGTCGCCATTCCTGGACTCGCCTCGAGATTCTTGTCAGAACGCACCTCGGGAGAGGTCCAGGGAGTAGCGGTATCGGTACCTCCTAGTTTCCCCAGAATCTGTATGTAGAGTGTGTTAGCGTCGATTAGAGTCTGGTGCGTCGATTCGCGTCGATTCAGCGTCGATCAGCGTCGACTCAGCGTCGATTGGCGCCGAGGAACGTCGATGCGCAAGAGCCAACGAGGTGGTGCGGGAGGCTCCCAGGAGCTGCCGCAGAACCTCGGGGGTGGTGGGCTTGGGAGCGCCTCCGCCCGTGGGGCGGCCTGACCCTGCTGCCTCTCGGCCTCTGCTCGCTCGCTCGCCCCCCCCCCCTCCTGGGCTCCCTCCCTCCCTCCACCCTCCCAAGGGCTCCTCCGCCCTCCCTCCCTCCCTCCCTCCCTCCCTCCCTCTCCCTCCCTCCCTCCCCCTCCCCCTCCCTCCCCTCCCTCCCTCCCCCGGGGCTCTCTCCTGGGCTCGCTCGCTCCGCTCCCCTCCCTCCGCCCTTCCGTTTGCCCGGGCGCGGCCGCGCCAGGCGGGCATCCACACCTGCCAGATGCTGCGCCGCGGGATCCGCCGCGTGCTGCCCAGGCAGCCTGGCGTAGCATTATACGTCGGGCACGTCCCTCCACAGGATGAACATTCAAAGATAGTGCAAAACTAGTATGGGGACGATTTTTGTTCGGACTATTTTCTGATGTTCCCCCCTGTAGGAGGACGTGCCCGACCTAAGCGTAGCAAGGAGGCAGGAGGCAGGAGCGAGGACTGAGCGAGAGAGGAGCGAAAGGGGGGAGAAGGAGGGAGCAATCTAACGCACTCGACAGTCATGTTTGCGATCTTCGAGAGAGCGCGTTTCACGGGCGCTTGCCTTGGGAACATTCGGCGGCGCGTTCCGAACGTGGGGTGGGCCCCCCCCAACACTCGGCGCCGTCGATCAGAACCAGGGGGTCTCCCCTCCCCCCTCACCCCCCCCCCCTCCCGAACCCCTCTCCCCCAGGGGGAGGGGAGTTCCAAACCCACCCCCCTCCCCCCTCCCGGGAAAGGAGCAGGAGATTCTAGCACCCCCAATGTTCTCTTCCGGCTCCCCAGGGGGGGGAGGGTTCGACCCCCCCCCCTTTTCTCTCTCCTCGGTGCCGGTACTGGCGCCTGCGCTGGCGGTGGCCGGCAGCACCAACGGCAGCCGCAGCGACGATGACCAGAGAGAGCCCAGGAGCCCTTTGCTTCCCAAAAGCCACCAGCCCCTCTGACGAGACCCCATGAAGCATCCATTGGAACCACAACCCAAAGCCAAGACACGGTGACGGGAAGACCCGAAGGCCACGCCGCCACCACCACCACCACCACAAACCACCACACCACCACCACCGCCACCACCACCACGACAACCACCACATTCCACCACCACAACCACCTCCACCACCACAAACCACCGCACACCACCACCACCACCACAGACGCACCAACACCACCACAACCCACCACTACCCACCACAACCACCACAACCACCACCATAAACCACCACACCACCACCACCACCACCACCACCACCGGCACCACAACCCACCACCACCACCACTACAAACCATCACCCCACCACCACCATCACAACCACCGCCGCCACCACCACCCACAACCCACCACCACCACCACCACGCCACCACCACCACCGCCACCACCACTACCACTACTATCACCACCACCACCATAACGCGCCACCGCCACCACAAACCACCACCACCACCACCGCAGCCACCACCGCCACCACTACATCAACCCATCACAACCACCACAGCAACAACCCACCACCATTTCCACCACCACAGCAACCCACGACACCACCACCACCGCCACAACCGCCACCGCCACTATCACCACCACAACCCACCACCACCACAAACCACCAAACCACCACACAACCACCACCACAAACCACCACAAACCACCAAACCACCACACCACCACCGCCACGACTCCAAACCACCACACCACCACCACCGCCACAACCACCACCTCCACCCGACAACCTGCCACAAACCACCACCACCGCCACCACCACCACAAGCCACCACCACACCACCACCGCCACCACCACCCCACATCACACCACCACCACCACCACCACCACCACCACCACCACCACCACCACCACCACCACCACCACTACCACTACAAACCACCCCACCACCACAACAAACATCACCACCACCACCACACCAAAACACCAGACCACCACCACAAACCATCAAACCACAACCACCAACGCCACCACCACCCCCACCCCCACCACAAGCCACTTCGCGGCACAACCACTACCACCACAACCACCACGACAAACCGCCACACCACTGTAACCAACACTACCACCACAACCCACCACCACAATTACCACCGCCACCACCACCACAAACCACCACCACACCACCACCACCACCACCGCCACCACCACCACCACCACTACCACCACACCACCACCACCACCACCACCACCACCACCACCACCACCACCACCACCACCACCACCACCACCACCACCACCACCACCACCACCAACGACCACCTCATTCTTATCACCACCGCCACTCCACCACCACCACCACCACAAGCCACCACCACCACCACCTGAGAGAGGCCCCGAGCGACGCCCAAGAGTCGTCCAGCAGGCTTCACAGATGCCCCCGCAGATCGCCGGCGGAGGGGCTCGAAGCCCAGGCGAGCGACGATAAAAAACGGGTCTTACGCGAGATGGCACAGCGACCCCACGCGGTAACTTCCGCGGTCCGCCACCGCGGCACGCTGCATTGGAGACGCGGGCGCCAGCCCGAGGAGAGGGAAAGAGGAGGAATAGGGGAGGAGCGAGGGTGGGGCGGGGGGGGGTTGAAACCCCCCTTTCCGTCACGGAAGACAGTGGTGGGGGGGGGTTTCCCCCCCCCCTTCAATCCAGGGGGGGGGGGGCCCTCCAAGCGACCACAGATCGCGCTCTTTCTGGTCTTCCGCGGCGCGTTTACAGACGTCCGATGCCTTGCTTTATTCTAGACGTGGTCCCCAGAAGTCCCGACCTTTTCCCCAGTGCGTTTTTTCCCGGAAAGGGCGCGGGCCCAGGTTTCTCTTTTAGTTGGTAGACGGTAGACCTGTCTCGGGTGTTAAGCTCGAAGAGGGCGGGCGAATTTGTTTGGGATAAGTAACGAGGTCGAAGATGGCCAGCGGATTCGATTTTGAGGATGTCCTGAGCGAAACGTTCTTTTTTTGAAACTGCTATCGACCAAACACATGGTGAAGTGAACATCTTCGTCTGTTGTGGATGTCTCGAGCGAAACACTTGTTTTGTAGAAGTTGTTGAGGATGTCTCGAGCGAGCCGCTCGTTTTGTTTCTATAGGTTGCTCTTTTCCTGTGGCTAGACTTAAGAGGATGTTTCGGGCGAAATCGTTTTTTTCACGTGCCCAGGTAGCCCAGGGGGGTATCGAACATGGTGGTCCCGAACTGGAGCGATTTTTTTTTTACGCGTCCAGGCCGCCCAGAGGGAGAGAGAGAGAGAAGGAACAAAGAAAAGGGGCGGGGAGGACGGAGAGAGGAAGTGAACGACGTGGAGGGAGGAGGGGGGAGATCCGTGCGGATCGCGCAGGCGCGACAACTGGCATCATCTTCAGGACGCGCGCTGTGTGTCTGCTTCTCTGCCGCCCTCTCATTCCACCAGCCTTCCGGGCTCGCTCGCCGAGTGCCCGATCTTGCCCACCTGGCTCTGGGCCCACCTTCGAGATCTTTTCCCGCCGCTCTCTCTCTCTCCGCCCTGGCCTTCGAAGGAGGGTGAGCGGTGGGGGGGCTCTGGCGCCCGATCTCCTCAGGAAGCTCCTGGGACGTGCCAGCCTGGGAGGGCGCAGGGGGGGGCAGGAGCGCGCCAGCGCGGGACCTGGGATGCGCGCAGGGTTAAGTCGGGCATGTCCCTCTACAGAGGGAATAGTCAAAGACAGTGAAGAAATCGTCCGTGGAAGGTGTTTGGACTGTTTTTGAATATTGCTGCGTATGTTTAAATTATTTATAGTGTTTCGCAGAAAATCCGCCTGTAAGGGGGACATGCCCGTCCTAAGGGTTATGATGGTCCGACCTACTTTAGCCCTGGGCCGTCTTGGAGGCCACTTGGGCCGTCATGGGGCCCTCTTGGGGGCCTCTTGGGCGATCTTGGGGGCCTCTTGGGCCGTCTTGAGCCGTCGGAATGCCGAGAAGAAGCAAATCCCCAAATCCTTCAAAACCCTAGGGAAATCAATGATTTTGGCCTCTTCGGGCCCTCCTGGAGGACCTCTTGGAGGCCTCTTGGGCCGTCTTGGAGGCCTCTGGGGAACCTCTTGTGCCGTCTTGGGCCGTCTTGGACTCTCTTGGGCCGTCTTGGAGGCCGTCTTGGACCATCTTGGGCGAACTTGGAGGCCATCTTGGACCATCTTGGAGGCCATCTTGGGCCATCTTGGCCATCTTGGACGCCATCTTGAGCCGTCTTGGAGGATTTTTTGTGCACGTTGGGGTCCTGGGCGATTTTTTGAGGATGTCCCGAGCGAACGGCACGTTGGCGGGACGGGCCGAAGCCCCAGGGGGAGTTCAAAGAACCAAAACCAAAACCGATAGGATCCAGCACGCCAGGCACCCCTGCGATGAATCGACAGGGGGCGGCGGATCTAGGGGTCTTCGGCCCATCCTGCCACCGTGCCTGGAGTCTAGGTCAAGTTTCACGATGCATTTTTGAGTGAGTAATTGCATTCACTCGGCGGCGAGCGAGGGGGGGACGTGAGAAAGGGACGGGCCGTCTCAGAAGGCTGGGAAGTCCCCTGGCCTTCGCGAAGTTCTCTGAGACCCCCCCGAAGACGCAGAAAACGTGTCGGAATGCGCGAGGGCTTCTGAGAAGTCCCACCGCCTTCTGAGAATGACTTCTCATTTTCATTTCCCCTCCCCCCAGTGCGCCGCCGAGTTTGATATTCGGGCCATAGCTCGGGTCTTTGGCGGCCGTCCGGCATGATCCGCGCACCCCTGGAACGCCCTCGGCGAGGCGCAGCCGCTGGAACGCATCCCGAGGCTGGAAGACCCCCGAGAACCAACGAAACACCGAAAACCTCGAACCTCGAACCCGAAACTTCCTCGAAAAGAGCAGGAGGAGGAGGAGGAGGAGGAGGAGGAGGAGGAGGAGGAGGAGGAGGAGGAGGAGGAGGAGGAGGAGGAGGAGGAGGCATTCTCCTTCTAACTTCCCCCCCTCGCTCGCCGCCGACCTTCGGGCGAGCCAGCGGCCCGACCCCCGCGAGTGGCCCACTCGCGGGCTGCCCTGGCGCCCGGGGGCGCCCGCCGTTTTCCGACTTGGGTTCGGCTGAGAGGGGCGTGATGACCAGGGAGGTGGTGGATCTCATAGCGTGGGCCATAATATCTCCCCAGGTTTCATGGCACCTTTTCTTCTTTCAGTGCGTCCGCGGCCCCCCCCTGGGCCGCGCACGTGCCGCCCGCCATGATTTGCACCCCCCCCCCCTCTCAGACGCCCCCTCGTGGACGCCCCCGAGGGGGGGCAAGCTCCTGGGCCACCCTCAGGGCCTCCAAGACGGCCCAGGAGCTCCTGGACGGCTCCAGGATGGGCCCCATGGGACCACACGGGGCCAGGATGGAAGCTTCGGGCACTCCTCCTCCTCCTCCTCCTCCTCCTCCTCCTTCCTCCTCCTCCTCCTCCCTCCTCCTCCTCCTCCTCCTCCTCCTCCCCCTCCTCCTCCTCCTCCTCCTCCTCCTCCTCTTGGACACCCTCGACTGACCCCCGGCCGGAGGCTGTCCCTCCCCTTGTATGAGGGCGTGCCCGATCTAACGATAGCCTCCGACATGCCATCAAGACGGCCCAAGACAGCCCCAAGAGGCTTCTGAGCGCCCTTCGAGTCTCCCAAGGCCCCCTCCCAGGAGGCCAGAATCATTCAAAACCTCGGGAAACTCCAGGTGTTAGGGCTTCTCGCATTTTTGCTTTCGATGAGCCTCTCGGGCCTCAAGATGGCCCCAAGATGGCCCTAGAGAGGGGCTGGTTGCCCCGCTGCCCTGGCTGGCTGCTCCAGCCCGCTCACCGCAGAACTCTTCCACGTATGAGCACCTTCTCCCTCCACCCTTCGCGCGGCCGCCCTCGTCTTAGCCTTTCTCTCTTGCGCGCCAGACAATTTGCCGATCGGTTGCCCCGATTCGCCCCACGCTGGTGCGGAATGCCTCTGCTCCGCCGCCGACGAAACAAAAAAAGGTGTGCAGGTTTGGTGCTTGATCGAGCATGGGAGATGGCCACGCGCGGATGCCCGCGGCTGGTGCACCACGGACGGTTCACACTGGCAGCGTACTTGTCAAAGGGTTTTCGGCGCCACGGCTGCACGCACACAGCTGTGCACGTGTAGATGTATACACATATGTATATACTATATATACGCAGACAGGCTTTCGCGTGCATGTATGTGTAAATTTGTTTTGTGCGCACCCATGTATACAGACATACAAACATACACATCTACACATGTGCCAGTATGTGAACGCACACGTGTACATGAGTTGATGTGCGTCTACTCTCCCGCGCATGCACGCATATACATATGTATATACACGCGCATGTATGTGCACCTGGCCAGTTTGACTCTCCAACATACACCTTGCTGCCGCTCGTACCCTCTGCTCCCGCTGCGCCGTGAAAAACAAACATCCCCTTCCCATTCCGTCCTCCGCCCCCCGCTCTCTCGGCGCTCCGGCGCCACCCGCCGGACCCTCGCAGGGCCGTCCCCCGGGACGACCGACCGGCGCCTCGCCTCGCCTCGCCGTCACTTCCACCGAGCGTGCAGACGACCACAGAGTCCGTGCTGCGCGCGCCCGGGACCCCTCCTCCCTGAAGACTCTACTCTGGCGCGCTCGGGTTGCCATCCCGACGTGGATTCGGAGCCTCACTGAGGAAGGGAGCGCGAGGGATGCGGGCGAGAGGAGAAGGCACACTCTGCTCTCTCGCTCCGAGCGCGAGGGATGCGGGCGAGAGGAGAAGGTTCGTTTCACACGTGGGTGCGCGCTCCGCTTGCAGTTCCAAGGTTGACTCGGAGCGCCACTGAGAAGGGAGCGCGAGGGATGTGGGTGAAAGGAGAAGGTAAGCTCTACTCTCGCGTTCCGCTTGCAGTTCCAAGGTTGACTCGGAGCGTCACTGAGAAAAGGAGAGCGAGGGATACGGGCGAGAGGAGAAGGTCCATGTCACACGCGCGCGTACGAGGGAGACAAGAGGAGAACCCAGTGGGAGCCGTGAAGGGCACTCGCCGGGAGCAGCAGGGGATCCCAGGGGAAGCCACGATGAACTCGGGAGGAGCCGCAGAGAGCGCAGCGACAAGGTGAAGGGATGCTCAAAGGAGACCGCAACGCCGCTCCCAGCCCGTTATGTCCCGTCCTTCTCCCGTCTTTTTGTCCTCCCTCCAACGCCCCTCTCCTCCTCGCTTTCTCCCTGCTGCGCCCCTCGAGCCTCCGCTGCCCTGTCTGACAGGGAGGGCCTCCACCGGCCCTTCTGCTTTTTTGCCCTCCGATGCAGGAGTACGCCGTCGGCGAGGCCAACACGGAGGAGTGCGCGCGCCCTGTTGCAGAGCATCCAGAGAGGAGCAGTGCAGGTGATCCAGCGGTCATACAGCGGAGGCTCATGCCAAGAAAGGCCCTGCTTGCCCCTCCGGGGTGTCCCGGGTTGCTTGGGTTTCGGTGGTTTTGCTGTGGGAAGCGTGACGTTCCCACAGCACAAATCGATGCTGTCCTGGGGTCTCAGGGTTGGGTTTTCTTGTGGAAGGTTTCTTGTGGACTGGCCTCCGCTGCAGATGCCTCTTGGGAGATGAGCAGGTCCACGGCGGCCTGAGAGGCAACCGATCCCGCAGCCGGCAACAGCAGAGCAGGGAGCATCAGCAGCAGCAGCAGCAGCAGCAGCAGCATCATCATCATCATCAGCTTTTCCCCGGGAAGGGCGTGGGCCCAGGGTTCCCTTTTGTCGGGGGCGGCTACGAGGGGGGTGATGACTAGGCTTAGGGGGGATATCACGGCGTGGGCCATGCTGTTTCCCCACATCTCATGGTGCCTCTTCTTATCTCACTACGTCCCCGGCCCCCCTCGTAGGCCGCGCACCTGCCGCTAGCCACGATCTGCGCCCCCCCCCTCTTGGACGCCCTCCTCTCGGCCGCCCCCGACTTTGATGGGTTAACACCCCCGCAGCCTCGACTTGAGGTGGGCGGGCGGCAATTTTCTGTGATTCATAATGAGGAAACGGTGGGCCAGCGCATCTTTTCCTGAGGATGTCCCGAGTGAAACGCTCGCGGCCAGCACGCGTTCGCTCGCGCTCTTCGGGGAGAGAGGCCGCCAGACGAGGGGGCCTCTCGGAGCCGCCGGTGCCGCCCTGCCGAGGGAGCTTCAAGGCCACCCTTTATGCACGGGAGCGCGAGGCGGCGGAGGCGTTTGTGCAGTCCACCCTCACAGGAAGGACTCACGGCCCGCCAAACCTCCCCAGCCCAACCCGAAGGCCCCAATTTGCCTTCCATTTCCAGTGGGGCGGGGCGGTGTCGGGGAGCACTGAAGAAACAGGTGTGGAATCCGTACCCCCCCCCAGTGCCCGAAACTCGGGTCTTCGGGGTTGGGTTGGGGTGGTTTTGTAGGTACTCCAGATTTCGTAATAAAGGGAGGGGGGTCTCATTTCGGGGGGGGGGGGTCTCTTCCAGGCTATCTTGGAGGGCCTGGGAGAGAATGGGCAATTTTACCAAGGGTGCACTTGCATCCTGGCCTCCTCGGTCCATCCTTGGCCGCTTTCGCTGGCCGCGCCCCGCTCGAAAAGCTTCGGAATGGCCTTCGAAGGCCCTTGCGTCCGTATCGTGCATCCTTCTGATACGGATCGACTGCACCTGGTGGGGGCACAGGCCGAAGGGCCTCGAGGCGAGCCTCGACGGGCGAAAGAACCGGGCACCTCCGAGGGACGGAGGAGGCAGGAGCAAGGACTGAGCGCGAGAGGAGGAGAGGGCTTCGCCGACGAAAGGGGGGGGAGCAGGCGGGAGCCACGGAACGCACTCGACGGTCATGGCTTGCGATTCTCCGTGGTGCGCTTTGCGGGCGTCATATGCCCTGCCTTCTGTTCTCTGCGGGCTGCCCAGAGAGGCCCCGACCCCCCCTCTCCCCGGTGCTGCTTCTCCCCCGGAGAGGGCGCGGGCCCGGGGAGCCCGTCCCCCTGGTGCCGAGCTCGAGGAGAGCAGCGGGGCTGGACAGAACCCCCAGCAGTGACACGTCGATTAGTGAATGGTCCGTTTTCGGTTCTCGAGAGGGCGCCGCGGCCGTCACTTTCCAGGCCTGCGCCCTCCAGGTTTGGGCCCCAGGTCGTTGTCACGAAACCACGTTTTGCTAAAGGGGGTTCTGACCATCCCCGAGAGCAGGGCCGGCGGATCTGTCTGCGATGGGTGGCGGGGTCGCAGGTGGCCGGCGGACTCAGTTTTTGGGGATGTCCCGAGCGAAGCGTTGGCTTTTGACATTCCTATTTTCGTTTGTGGCGGATGTCTCGGGCAAAGCGTTTGTGTTGTCTAGTTCGTTGCGGTCGTGGCTCGCGAAGCGCTGGTCTTGTTCCTGTAGCGTGCTCCTTTCCGGGGGCCAGAATTCAAAGGATGTCTCAGGCGAGATGCTTGTTTTCATGTGCCAAGGTCGTCCAGGGGGGTATTTATCATGGTGGTCCCGAGCTGGAAAGTAGTACTTTCACGTGTCCAGGCCACCCAGAGGGGTATCTAAGTTCCGCGTTGGTACCATGTGTTTTTACGTGTCCAGGCCACTCAATGGGGTATCTAACATGGTAGTCCCGAGCTGGAACCACGTGCTTCTACGTATCCAGGTCACCCAGTGGGGTATCTAGCATGGTGGTCCCGAGACGGAGCCACGTGCTGTCACGAGTCCAGTCCAGCAAAGGGGGTATCTCACAATGTGGTCCCGAGCTGAAGCCGCGTGTTTTCCCGTGTCCAGGCCGCCCAGGGGGGGGGTATCTAAAGTTCTTGCCTCTTGCCCCTCGCTGGAACCAGTTGTTTTTTTACGTGTCCAGGCCACCCAGACCGTGCCCGCCCCAGGGAAGGGCTCGAGACCTCGGGGGGTCCACGATGCGAACAAATCACGACTTCTGGAGGGAGAGAGGAGTGGGAGGGAGGGGGGGGAGTACAGTCGGGGCCGTGAAGAAGGAACCCTTTTCGTTGGGGAAGGGTTTCCGTGTTCCTTAAGTGTTTCTCAGCTTGCCTCATGTTTTCCTTATGTTTTCGACGGGAGATCGAAGTTTAACCCATGGAAAAAAGGGGCCTCGTTCCTTATTTGGGGTTCCTTAGGTCAACGCCCCGACTGTAGACTCAGGGGGGGGGCAGGGTCTCGGACGTGTTTCGAGTGTCCCCGAGGCCGGGGGCGGTTTCCGCCAGCTGCTCCTTGTCGAGAGCGTTCGTGGGGTGCCAGGATCGTCCCGGAAGCCAGGGAGCGGAATCGCAGGGGCAGGCTGAGGGAGAATGGGGGAGGGGGGATGGGGGGGGGAAGGCTTCTCAGGATCAGGCGATCGCAAACATGGATCAGGGGTGCGTGGATCAGCGACGGGTCCTGTTTCCATGGGAAATCGCGGAGTTCCGCCGCCGAGCGAGGCGGCGCGGGCCGCATTTTGGGGAGGCCCCCCCCCCCCTCGATCCATGGCTTTTGTGACCGCGCGCCGAACCCATGGATCGCTAATCCATGCTTGCGCGCTCCCGATAGAAGCACCCCTGCTTCTAAGAAGCCCTCCCCCCTCCCCCTGCCCGCCTCCGCGCGCCGCCGGGGAGGGCATCGGCCCCCAGGCGCCCAGCCGTCGCCGAGGGGGGCCCGACGGCGCACCTCGCCCAGGTGAGCGATCCAGCTCGCTGCCAAGGGCCTGCTGGCGACGTGCCGCCGACTCCAGGCCGATGTCCTGGGAGGCCCAGCGGAGTGACGTCCCACTCAGACCAGATGAGGCCCTCCCCCCGCTCCCCGATAGGGGGCCACATGCGAACCCTACCCCCACCCCCCACGATTTCTGAGGGGGAGGGTGGGGTTCACTTCGCTCGGGAGCTCCTGCCCGAGCCAGTCCCCCCCTCGCCGTTGCCCCTCCGGGAGGGGGACCAGGCCACTCTTGGGAGGCCCCTGGCCGGAGCGGGCGGCGCCGCTGTGGAGCTGCCGCGTGGCGAGAGGCGGGTCGGCAGCTGCCCCACCCCCCCCCTGCGGCACCCGCGGGGTCGAACGCGGCGCATTTTTCGCAGCCACGGCTTCCAGCCCTCCCTCTACTTTTCGCTCCTCCTTCTCCGTCCCCTGGTCCTTCTTTCCCTCGCGGTCCTCACGCTAACGCCCCTGCTGCTGCTGCTGTTTGTCCTCATGCTTTTCCTCCCGCTCATCCCTCTGCTCACCCGCCACCTCCTCCTCCTGTGCACGCATCTCCCCTTGTCCCAGAAAGGGCTCGGGCCCAGTTTTTTTTTTTTTTTTGATGTTTTGCTCCTGGTCTCGACTTGACGTGTGCGGGCGTAACGATTCTGTGACGAAAAACAGGGAAAGGGTGGGCCCGCGCATCTTTTTTCTTCTGAGGACGTGCCGAGCAAAACGCTTGCCTGGCATGATTTGTTGAGGATGTCTCGAGCGAAACAGAGATGTCCGACATGAGGATTTGGTCAGGATGTCTCGAGCGAAACGCTTAGTTTCACGTGACCAGGTCGCCCAGGCGGATGTCTAACATGAAGATGTGTTGGGGATGTCTCGAGCGAAACGGTCATTTCCACGTGCCCAGATCGCTCGGGCAGATGTCTAATATGAAGATGGGTAGAGGACGTCTCGGGCGAAACGCTTGTTTTCACGTGTCCAGGTCGCCCAGGCGGATCTCTAACATGAAGATGTGTTGAGACTGTCTCGAGCGAAACGGCTGTTTTCACGTGCCCAGGTCGCCCAGGCGGATGTCTAACATCAGGATCTCTTGAGGTTGTCTCGAGCGAGACGCTTGTTTCCACGTGTCCAGGTCGCCCAGGCGGATGTCTAACATGAAGATGTGTAGAAGATGTCTCGGGCGGAACGGTTGTTTTCACGTGCCCAGGTCGCCCAGGCTGATGTCTAACATGAGTGTTGAGACTGTCCCGAGCGAAACTGTTATTTCCACGTGTCCAGGTCGCCCAGGCGGATCTCTAACATGAAGATGTGTTGAGACTGTCTCGAGCGAAACGGCTGTTTTCACGTGCCCAGGTCGCCCAGGCGGATGTCTAACATCAGGATCTCTTGAGGATGTCTCGAGCGACACGCTTGTCGCAGTAGAGTGCGTCGAAGCTCAACCCCACCCGTCTGGGGGGCGTCCCCTGGCGCGCTGGCGCGTCCCCTGTGAGGCCGTCTCGTGCGCGTGATTGGGCGGTGTGCGCGTCGCAGAGCGTGGCCCGCTGTTGGTCCATTTGCCGCGGTGTTCGCGCGAAGCGACCTTGGACAATCGTTTCTACGGCGCGTCCTTTACGACATTCTGGCGTGACTTGCCCTGGTACGTCCTCTAGCACGCCCCTCGGCGTGGAACATTCCCTGGCTCGTCCTCTGTCGCGTTTCCTGGCTCGGCCGAAGGCGTTTCCCCTGTCCGTTCCGTGGTGCGCCCCTTACCACGTCCCCTCGCATGACGTCCTTTGGCCCGCCCCATGGCCCGCCCCATGGCACGCGCCTTGGTACGTCCCGTGGCAGGTCCCTGACACGTCCAGGGCACGTTCCCGAATACGTCCCTTGACGCCCCCTGGCGCATCCCCTGATGCGCTCCTGGCACAGTCTGTGGCGCGTCCGTGCGCGTGTGCCCCGTGTCGTGTCGTCCCTTCGGGGAGCTGAGTTGGATTTTGAGCTCGAGTTGAATGAACGTCCGGCACGTTTCGACTTCAACTACATAGCTCTGGGCCAGCTACTATGTGCTCGGGCAGCTCGAGTGTGCGATCCAGATCAGTTCGGTCAGGACTCGGATGCTAAGGAGGACTCGATCCACAACGCTATGGAGCACAATCGCGGCATGGCACATCGAAATTCAGCACGGCACAGCACAGCACAGCCCCTGGCACGGCACATCCAATATCGATGCGCTCTGCATTGCGATTGCCCGTCGCCCAAGCACGTGTCTTGAAGACGTTGCCGTGCCTCACATTTCTATATCCTCTCCGGGTCTGTGGGTCGATCATGCTCTTGCATGCGCAGATGTGGCGAGACACGCGGAATGCTCCTCCGCTCGACGGCGGCCCCCGGCCCATCGCGCCGAGCGACACCGCTGTGCCCCGTGGGGTGCGCCCGCGCGCGAGGAGTTCCGGCTGCTGCGCGCCAAGGACACGGCCGTGTCCAATCTCATCGCGGGGCAGCAGGGGGCTGCCGCCAAGGCGATCGACTGGGCATCGTGGGAGGCGGCCCGGGCGCTGCCGCCGGGCCAGCTGGCGCCGTGTCTGCCCCGAGAGTTGCAGGGCTCACGAGTTCAAGCAGACCTGGTTGGATGGTTCGTTCGCAGATCGTCGAACAATGGATGAGATCCGCTGAAGTCTTGGGCTCAGGGGCGCTCTGGCTGAAGGCACCAACAAGGCTTGTGGTACCGCTTGCCCAGCCGCCGGGAAGCCGGCGTAGTGTCTGAGGTGCCGCAGGTACTAGTCGGGCCGACCAGCGGATTTATGATTCACGATGGTGTCGAGCATGGATTGGGACGGTGTATTTGCTGTTTGCGGAGGGCTGTTCGTGTCAAAATAGTTGTCCACCCACCTTGCCCTAGGAACGGGGAAAGCGGCAGGGAGTCTCGAAGACGTTAATCCGCAAACTGTGACTTCGGGGATTGGTGGATGTTTGCGAACCTCGACAGATACATACGTATCCTCGTACTTTGGAAGTTGAGCTCTCGTATTCGTGGGCGAGTGGACGTGAGAAGTGTTCTCATGTAGTCGAGAAGTGAAAGAAGGACTCATGGGTTTCGGGGGCGAGGGGAGGTTTCATTGCGGTCACGCGCTTCTTCACTTCGACCTCATGGATTCCTGCCTCTGCAGCCGATCAGCTTGATTGCTTGGTTGCCCCAGCCTTTTTCCATACGGGGCTCGAGAAAAGGCTTCGCCTTCGAGGATCGAGAGGTTGACGCCTCTTCCCATATTTGTTTTTCCCAACCATCCTGTGGTGCTGGGTCCTCGTTTTGAATAGACAGCGCCCCGCGTTCCTTTGCGTTGTTCCTCTCCTCCTCTCCTCCTCGTCCTCCTCCTTCTCCTTCTCCTCCTCCTCCTCCTCCTCCTCCTCCTCCTCCTCCTCCTCCCCTCCTCCCTCCATGGTCATCATCGTCATCACCACCAGCACCACCACCATCATCATCATCATCATCATCATCATCATCATCATCATCATCATCATCATCATCATCATCATCATCATCATCATCACATCATCATCATCCCCATCATCGCCACCACTACCACCATCTTCATCATCACCATCATCACCATCATCACCATGACCACCATCAACATCATCAGCATCGTAATCACCAGCATCATCAGACATCATCATCACCACCATCATCACCATCAACATCATCACACTCTTGACCATCATAATCAGCAACATATGCACCATCATCACCATCTTCTTCTTCTTATTGATCTTCTTTTCCAGCATCACCAACTTCATCATCAGCAACAGCAGCACCAACCGCGTGAGCATCAGCATCATCATCAACATCAGTAGCAGCATCAGCACCAGCATCAACGTCAGCATACTTATCACATCATCAACATCGACGTCACGCCATCATCTCCATCATCGTCATCATGATTGCTGACACACCCTCACACGTTTCTCCACCGAAGGCCCCAGAGGCGCAGCCCGCATGCGTCCCAGCCATCCATATCGGCACACCCATCACACGCTTCGTGGCCCCAGTGGGAAGCTCGACCGAAGGTCCCAGCGGTACAGCCCGCATGCGTCCGCGCCACACTTTTCCACACACACACACACACCCCTCACACGCGTCGTGGCCCCATAGGGAGGTCCACCGAAGGCCCCAGTGGCGCAGCCCGCATGCGTCCCAGTCGCTCATTTCGGCGCACTCCTCACACGTTTCGTGTCTCCATAGGGAGATCCACCGATGCCCAAGTGGCACAGCCCGCATGCGTCTTAGCCACCGATTTCGGCACACCCTCACATGTTTCGTGGCACAGCCCGCACGCGTCCCCGCCACCCATTTCAGCACACCCTCCCAAGTGGCACAGCCAGCCGGCATGCGTCCCAGCCATCCATTTCGGCACAACCTTCACATGTTTCGTGGTCCCACAAGGAGCTTCACCGAAGGTCACTGTGGCACAGCCCGCATGCGCCCCAACCACCCATTTCGGCACACCCCTCACATGATTCGTGGCCCCTATGTGGAGCTCCACCCAAGGCCTGAGTCGCGCAGCCCGCATACGCCCCAGCAACCAATTTCGGACCCCCCCTCACACGTTTCGTGGTCCCATAGGGAGCTCCACCGAAGGCCCCAGTGGCGCAGCCCGCATGCGCACCAGCCGCCCATTTCAGCACAGCCCTCACACGTTTCGTGGCCCCACGGGAAGCTCCACCGAAGGATCCAGTGTCGCAGCCTGCATGCGCCCCCGCGACTCATTTCGGCGCACCCCTCGATTGCTGCGTGGCCCCATAGGGAGCTCCCGCATGCGTCCCCGCTGCGCACCCTTAACATTCTTCGTGGCCCCATAGGGAGCTCCACCGAGGGTCCCATTGGCGCAGTTCGCATGCGTCCTCGCCACCCATTTCGGCACACCTTTCACACGTTTCGTGGCCCCATAAGGAGCTCCGCGTCCCCGCCACCCATTAAGGCACACCCCTCGTACGTTTCGTGGCCCCATAAGGGGGAGCTCCACCGAAGGTCTCAGTGGGGCAGCTCGCACGCGTCCCCGCCACCCATTAGGGCACACCCCTCACACGTTTCGTGATCCCATGAGGGGAAGCTCCACGGAAGTTCCCAGTGGGGCAGTTCGCACGCGTCGCCGCCACCCATTAGGGCACACCCCTCACACGTTTCGTGGTCCCACAGGGAGTTCCGCCGGAGGTCTCAGTGGCGCAGCCCGCATTCGCTCCCGCCGCCGATGTCGGCACACCCACGTCGGAAAAATTCGGCAGGGAACGAGGTGCACGCCGAACGGTGCGGCCCGTGGCTGGGGCCACTGCGTTCCATCATTCTCGAACGCAGCGCGCAACATGTCGGCATCACCCTAACATACTTATACTATATGTGCTTCGCCCCCCCGGAGGCGACGCGCGCACCGAGAAATCTTATAGTATATGCGTCGTGGGGGGCGCTTTCTGGCCACACCGCTCGGAAACGATATACTACAAGATGGGTATACTATATGTTCGGGTCGGACGCGCGCCTCCACGGAGGACATATAGTACTAGTATGTCTTTGTGCTTCCCACAACAGAAACAAGGGGGGTTCGATGAACTGGGAAGGAAATGGGCACGAAACGGCGGCGCACCGGGCCCCAGTGCAGCGCCCGCATGGCGGCCCCGCTCCATTCAGGCACACCCTTCAGAAATTTCTTGGCCCCATAGGGGGCTCGACCTACGGCCCCGTTGGCAGCGCCCGCATGGCGGCCCCGCCCCGTCCCCGCGCACCCTTCACGCGCTTCGTGGCCCCAGGCGGAGATCCACCGAGGGCGACACTCACAACGACGGTACTCACAACTGCATGTGGTTACATCCTTCGCCAGGCTCACTGTTTTTTGCGAGTCAGGGTTTTCCGAGCCCTCCACGTGAGCGAAGACGAGCTGCATGAGCATGCACTTTGGGAGGTCCGTGCGGATTTCCTGGATCGGCGTTAGAGCCCCCTCCCTGCTGGGCGGAGCGCGCCACGCGAAGCGCCAGAGGCGCCGCCCGAGGGGCCCAGCGACGTTCCAAGAACTCTGCGCGGAGCTCCGCACGGCAGTCATCTGTACTTCCACTCCCTTTCCTCCTCCCTCCTCTTCCTCCTCCTCCTCCTCCTCCTCCTCTTCCTCTCTCCTCCCTCCTGCTCCTCCTCCTCTTTCTCCTCCTCGTCCTCCTCCTTGTAACCCAGGGTAGGGTCATTTTTTCATCCCTCAATATTTGTAGAGTCCCAGATTCCAATCTACTTCAAGCGCCTTCCTGCTTCAGCGATCGAGTGGCTTCCCCTCTCCCGTCCTCCGGAGGGGGCGGGCGGACCCCCAATATATTTTCAACGCCTTCCCACTTCATGCTCCTACCTACGTCGTCCGACCGATTGGTACGTGGTGGTCTATCCCGCCACCGTGCCTTGGCAGGACCGCCCGCGATCCGCTTCGAGGCGAGCCCGTTCGCCGGCCGGGGCCGCAATTCCGATCCGACTTGATTCTGTTGAACTCGCTGGCATCGGCGGTCTGGACGTCTCGAGGGGGTCCCGTACAGCGGCGACGCCGAATGAAGCAAGGACTATTTTGAAATCAAGGGTTCAGGAGGGCATGCCCCTCTACAGACGGAATACTCGATACTAGTAATCACAGCATGGATGCACACACTCACACATATATATGTATATATATATATATATCTATATACATATATTTGCATGCATGCCTGACTGTACACATATGTCTGTATGCACGTATAATATATATATATACATACATCTGTACGTATTTATGCATGCATGTATGCACGTATGTATATGTCTATGTACGCATTCATGCATGCATGTATGTTTACAGGCATGCATGTCTGTATGCATGCATGCATGTATACATGCACGTATGTGTGTATACATGTATGCATGCATGCATGCATGCATGTATGTATGTATGCATACATGCATGTATGTGTGCATGCACGCATGTATGCATGAATATATGCCTGTATGCATGTAAGTATGTATGCCTGTATGCATATCTGTATATATATATATATATGTATGCATGCATACATACATGTATGTATGCATTTATGCATGCATGTGTTTACCTATGTGTATGTGCATGTATGCATGTCGTGTAATGAAATGTATTATCGTGTAATGTACTTGAATATCTATATTGTAATGCAAGGTAGTGTGTGTATGTATGTATGCATGTATGCATGCATGCGTGTAAGTCTGTATGTCTGTAAGCATGCATGCATGTAAGCATGTGCATATGTATGTATGCATGCACATGCATGTATGTATTTATGTATGCACGCATGCATGCATATATGTATGTATGTATGATTCTATATATGTGTGCATGCATGTATGGTTGTATGCCTGTATGTATACATGTATGCATCTTTGTATATACATATATATATATATATATATGTGTGTTTATGTATGTATGCATGCACGTGTGTATGACTATATATATATACACACCTATGTACGATTGTATGCATGCCTGTCTGTCTGCATGCATGAATGTAGTTATGTAGGAATATATGTATGTATGCATGCATGCATGCATGTATGCATGTATGTATGTATGTATGTACATATATATGTACGTATATATATATATATATATATGTGTGTGTAGGTGTGTATGTGTGTATCTGTCTATGCATGCATGGATGAATGTATGTATGTATGCATGCATGCATGTATGTATGCATGTTTGTACGTACACACATATACATACTATATGCTTGATTTCGTTATCACTTTTTCAATGTGTCTTCCAGCATCCGCCTGTAGGAGCACATGCCCGACCTATCTCGAGAGGGTGTCTGGCTTTCGGGACACTCCTCAGGGGTTGGGTCGGGGTGCTCGCTCGCCGCCGAAAGGAGGAGGAGGAGGACGACGACGAGGGGGAGGAGGAGGAGGAGGAGGAGGAGGAGGAGGAGGAGGAGGAGCAGGAAGAGGAGGAGGAGGAGAAGGAGGAGGCCTTCTCCTTCTCACTTCCCCCCCTCGCTCGCCGCCGATCTGCAGCCAAGGCGGCGAAACAAGGGCCGCCCGGGGCGCAGGAGGGGCTCGGGCCGTCTGGCCGCTCCTCAGATCCGGGTCGGGGAGCCTATAGAGGAGGCCCATGCCAGGAGACGCCCTGCTCGCCTCCAGGGTGCCCTGGGTTCCTTGGGTCTCGATGGTTTCGCCATGGAAAGCCCGACGCTCCCACACCAAAATTCGATGGACGGCCTGGGGTCTCAGGGTCGGGTTTCTTGTGGGAGGTTTCTTGGGGTCGGGCCCCCACTGCATTCGTGGCTGGGGCTCGTCGTGGCCAGAAAAACCAATCCGTTCCGTGTTCAGCGTGATTTATGAAATTGGTAGCACGATGCGCCCAGAAATTCGATGTCTTGATTTTTCTACTCGGTCCCCAGAGGTTTCGACCCTTTCCCCAGGTCAGTTTTGTCGTCCCAAGTGGTTTTTGAGGGTCTCAGGGCCCAGCGAGGGCCCCGGGAGACCGAAAACGGTCAATCATCTCCCGCCGCGATTTGTCTTCACGACGCGAGCATGTCCAGGAGCGCATCCCGCAACCGTGCCTTGGGGGCTTCCCTTGGTGGCAATGCACCGTGTGCCCAAGGCACGTTGGCGGATTCGTAGGTTTGTCGTCAGCTTTCTCATCATGGAATAATGTTCGGACATTCAGGCGCCTAGCGAGCCATGCTATTGTCATGTTCTGGGTGCATCCGCATCTTTTCAGTCACGAGCGGGAGAGAGAGGTGTGATCGTGGTAGTGGTGAATGCCAAAATTGTGTCGTACCTCTCTTCGATGCTCTGTAGTTTTTTTGTTTCATATGTTCTGCCGATGTGTTCACCATCCGTCCCCAGTACATGTTCTCCCTGTCTTTTCCCTTTCGACAATTCCGTCCCATTTTTTTTATTTTTTTTTGTATGTGCTTCCTGCTTGACAAAGTCGTGGCAGCCAGAGAAGTGCACGACGTGGGTCTCCGATCTCGTGGAGTTCCCAGTTGGGAGGACGGGCATGTGTCTCTTACCAAGGCCTCGATGCAAGGCTTCTTGAGGTTGTCGTGAGGTACCCGTGCTCGGCACGCCTCGCTCGGTGTGGTCTCTCTCCTTCTCTCTCTTTCCCTCTCTTGCTGCAGTCCTTGGCCTCCCCCCTCCCAGAGCAGGCCCGCATTAGCAACAAGGAGGTGTTGACGTGCCTGAAGGACAGGGCCGCGGTCTCTCTCCGTGTAGGCTCCGCTCTCCTCCTCTGCCACTCGCTTGTTCTCCCACTCCTCGTTCGCCTCCTCCCTCCTCCCTCCTCCCTCCTCCCTCCTCCCTCCTCCCTCCTCCGACCCGCCTCCTCTCGTTGCCTCGTCTCTCTTCCTTGTCGCGGGCCCGCGCTCTTCTCTTCCCACTTTCCTGTTCGGATGGGCCCCCTGCTCCTCTGGAGGTCACCTGGGGGCACCGTCTGGTCGGCCCCGACTCTTTTTTTTCGGCGTGCTGGGGGTGCCTGCTCGCTCGTGGTGGGTGCCTGAGTCGGGCAGGGGTAGAAGTAGTTCCTGAGCGTCCTGAAACGCTCTCGGAGCGTCCCCGGGTGCTGCGGGAACGGCTGCGGCGCCCGAGCCTCCAGAGCCCCCGGATCTCCGAGATCCCCCGACTCGTCCTGGTTCGATCGTGTGTCCCAGTCCTGGTCTCGTCTCCTGGAGCAGCCGCGTGGGGGTCCTTCGGCAGGCGCGTCCACAGCGGCGCCAGGCGCGTGGTCCGTCAGGCTGGTTCTACCGATTCGCGGACGTCGTGGCCTGCGCGCAGTTGCGGTGGGGCTGGAGGCTGGTACAGTGGAGACCCATGCCAAGAAACATCCTGCTTGCCTCCAGAGTGCCCTGGGTTTCTTGGGTTTCGATGGTTTGCGATGGAAAGCGTGACGTTCCCATACCAAACATCGATAATTAGACGTCCTGGGGTCTCAGGGTTGGGTTTCTTCTGGAAGGTTTCTTGTGGACTTGCCTCCACTGTAAGGCTGGTTCTACTGATGCGCGGACGTCGTGGTCTGCGCACGGGGGCGGTGGGGTTGGAGGCTGGTAGGCGCTCGGGCAGGGTGCACGCTCTGACGTAGCCCGCGCAGTTGAGACTTTGTGGAAGAAGATGAATGGAGAGGAGGCGTGTTGCCAGACTTTCCAGGTGCCTTAGAATTGTTCAAAACATGTCAATGACATGCCGATACATGATAAGCCATGTTTAAATCATGTTTTATACATTCAAACAGAAGTTCTAGTTCAATAGTAGGGCTGTTAGAGTGTCCATGGTCATGGCATCCGCATGTTGAGACTCGTGTTCGCTTTTCTACGGTGTGCACCGGTCGTTGGAGTATGTATTTTCGGGGTTCCTGGATCCCTATCTGCTTTGGGTGCCTTCCTATCTCATGAGTCGAACCGTTTTCATTTGTCCCTCCTCTTCAGTGTGCGGGCGGACACCCAGTTTACCGCTTTGTTTCTATCCACTTGTTTCTATCCATTCCTGAGCGTCCTCCCCGTCCTCCCCTCGCGCAGCCGCCCTCGTCTTCGTCTCTTCCTCTAGCACGCTGGACAATTTGCCTTTCGGTTGCCCCGATTAGCCCCGTACTGGTGCGGACTGCCTCTGCCTCGCCGCTGGCGAAAAAAGATTCTACCCACTTCTTCTGCTGACCCATGGCTCGTGTCTGCGTAGTGTATTTGACAGCCGCCATCTGGGCTTGCCTCAAGCGCGTGGTCTTTTGCCGCAGACGCCTCTGGCGAGTCACCGCCGCCCCCCCTTCCTCACTCCGATGCTGCTTTCTGGACGCGCCTACAGTCAACCCGCACGGTAAGGATGGGCAACCTGCCCAAGGGTACCCTTTGCATCCTTGCCCCTTCGGCCCATCCTTAGCGACTCTCGCTGGCCAACCTCGTTCGAAACCCGCTCACGTGGCCCTCCAAGGCCCTTGCATCCTTACCGCGCATCCTTATGATACGGGCTGACTGTGCCTGGAGGCTCCTCCGAACACTGGGGAGGTCCTTCTTTGGGCTGGTTTGGGGCTGTCTCGGGGTTCTTTTCGGGCCCTGAGGGCCTTATTCTGGGCTTCCTGGGGCTTTCGAGGGCTTTCTGGGGCTGTCTCAAGACGCTCTTGGACCGACTGGCGCCATCGGAGGCCGTCTTGGGTGTCTCTTTCGGTCGTCTTGGAGACCTCTTGGGGCCCTCTGAGGCCGCCTGCGGCGGCCCATGGAGCGTCTTGAGGTTGGGGTTCCCTTGGGGCCTTCCTGGGTCGTCTTGGCCCAGCCTTGGGGGCTCCTCGGGACGTTTTGGGCGCTCTGATCTGGAGACCAAGGAGGCGAGGATCCGAAAAGCATTCAAAGTCACAAGGGAAATTCTGCTTTTCCCAACTTCCCAACCATCCTGTGTGGTTGGGTCCTCGTTTTGACGAGACAGCGCCCCGCGTCACGCCCCTTCCTCTCCCTCCTCCCTTCTCCCATCCCTGCATCGGCCCTGCGCATGTTTTCATAGCAGTCGCCATGATCATCGTGATGATGATCATCGCGATCACCCTGATTATCAGCATCACCATAACCATCGCTATCATCATCACAATCATCATCATCATCATCATCATCATCATCATCATCATCATCATCATCATCATCATCATCATCATCATCATCATCATCATCATCATCATCATCATCATCATCAACATCAACATCAACATCAACATCAACATAACCATCATCATCACAATCATCATCATCATCATCATCATCATCATCGTCGTCGTCGTCGTCGTCATTGCGGCACCGTACCAATTCCGGCACACAAATCACACGCATGGCAGCACCGCGCGCATGTTGACATACCCTTTACCGTTTCGTGGCCGCATAGGGAGGTCCGCCAAAGGTCCCAGTGGCTGCGTTCGCATGGCGGCACCGCAGTCATTTCTGCACACCCATGCACGTTTCGTCACCCCACTACGGCTCTCCACCGAAGTCCTCATAGGCTGCGTTCGCGCGGTGCCGCCGCATTTTTCCGGCGCGCCCTTCACACATTTCGTGGCCCCATAAAAGGGGGTTCCACCGATGGCCTCCGTGTCTGCGTTCGACATGACACCACCGCCATATGTCTACTCCAGATTTCGTAATAAAGGGAGGAGGGTCTCATTTCGGGGTGGGGTCTCTTCCAGGCTATCTTGGAGGGCCTGGGGGGTCTGGGGACGATGTTTTGTAGGGTTCTCCCATGGGGGAGGTCTGAAATGGCTTGTCTTGGAGGGTCCAGACCCCCTCCCTGTTATTACGAAATCTGGAGTACAGACTTCGGCACACCCACCACACGCTTCGCGGCCCCCGTGGGAGCTCCACTGGAGGCTCCCGTGGCAGCGCCCGCATGGCGGCACCGCCCCCGTTCCCGGCACACCTTCTCTCGCTTCCTGGCCCCACGGGGAGCTCCACCGAAGGCAATGGTGGCTGCGTTCGCATGGCGACACCGCGCCCATTTCGGCACAGCCCTCACACATTCCGTGGCTCCATGGGGAGCTCCACCGAAGGCCCCAGTGGCTGCGTTCGCATAGCAACACCGCGCCCATTTCGGCACAACCCTCACACATTCCGTGGCTCCATAGGGAGTTTCACCGAAGGCCCCAGTGGCTGCGTTCCGCACCCATTTCGGCACACCCCTCACACAGTTCGTGCCTCCATGGGGAGCTCCACTGAAGGCCCAAGGGGCTGCGTTTGCATGTCAGCACCGCGCGCATGTCGGCAACGCACGCATGTTGGAACGCCATCCACGCGTTTCGTGGCCGCATAGGGGGTTCCAACGAAGGCCCCAGCTGCTGCGTTCGCATGGCGGCACCGCACAGACTTCGGCACACCCATCACACGTTTCGTGGCTCCTTGGGGGGCCCCACCGAAGGCCCAAGTGGTGGCTTTTGCATGGCGGCACCGCGCGCATGTTGGTACACGCCCCGCACACTTGGTGGCCCCATGCAGGGGCTCTTTATCCACGCCGCAGTCCTCTTGCGCCCCTCGCATACTCGCAGCCGCATGTGGCACCTAGGTGATTCGCTTGGATTATTTGTTTCGGGGCCAAGAGGTCGCCCGAATCCTCAAACAATGAAGCCCCTCATCAATCTCCCTGAGGCCCCGGCTCGGCAGCATCCAGTCCACAGGCAAGGTGGGACGTGCTGCGACGTGGGGTAGGGGAGGGGTAAACCTGCCCCAGGAGCGGCAAAACGGGGGCGGAAGCTCTGACCGGCTAAAACACCTGCGCCCATAGGGCTGACGAGATTGCCATGAGTGGGCCGCGGTGGAATTCTGCCCTCGCTCAGGCAGGTGACGCACGCATCCAGAGGACCCTATGGAAGGGCTGCACCATGTGGGAGCACTTCTGGAGCCAATATTCTCGGCGACCGCTAGCGAATCCTGCCCCTGCGGGTTCAACCGACGCTGGGGTATCGGACACCCTCGTGGGGGTTCACTTGGTTTTAGACATCCTCCAGACAAAAAAAACGACTGGGATTCAGTGAATCCCAGTCTTTTTGTTGTTTTTTGTTTCTTTTCTGGGCTTCCGGAAATGTGACCTGCAGGGGTAGGTTTCACATGTGGTTGCCTGTTCTCGAGAACACGGTATGCGTGGCGCTTGTAACGTCGGCAGTGGAGCCCAGACGGCGTCTGGGTGCCGACCGAGGCGGATGTCAGACTGCTCGAAATCAGGAAGCAGGGCCACGGCTTCGGCGTCGCGCTCGAGGTGCACCGGCGAGTGTCCAATCTCGCTGCAGCCTGCAGCTGCAGCTGCCCGGTGCGAGCGAGGGCAACCAGCGCATGGCGAGGTTTGGGCCGCGCCGAGGCAGCCCCTGCGGGCAGTCCTGGCGGACCTCCACGGGCCCCCGGAGTGGTCCAGGGCGGCATCAGCACCCTCGTCGGGGAACGTTGAAAAAGTGCCGATGGAACCCGTGCCCCTCCCAACCCGAAATTCGGGTCTTCGGGTTGGGTTGGGGTGGGCTCTCAGAGCGTTCCGGAACGCTCTGAGGAGGCCGCGGCGCTAGAGACATCCTCCAGAGCGGCTTGAGTTCAGAGATTCTCGATCCATCCTCACCCGATGTTATCCTCGTCCTGGCTTCGTCTCATGTTGAGATTGCCTCGGACTACTCGGGGGTCCTGTTGAGGCCCGCTGGGACTACTCGGGGGGCCTGTTGAGGCCAGCCGGGACTACCCTGGGGGGACTGTCTGTGCGGAGCCCCCGAAGCCTTCCCACCAGCGCATCCTTCATGCGTGTCAGGTTGTTCCCCCTGATAGCGCCAGGGCCCAGATAACGATTCGCTGGCTTGGTTCAGAAGCATGCAATATGCGAAAGGTCAGCGTCTGGACGCTGCTCGTGGGGAATCCACGCCCGAGGGGACAATCTGGCCTCTCATGTAATCTGTGGGTCGTGCTGCCCTGCGTGTCGTCGGCAAGCCTGCCACCGGGTGGAGCCGTCGCCATGCGTTGGTTGGGACGTCAGGCCGTGGCTTTTGACGTGCATTGGCTGGTGTCGTGCGCTGGCCAGTTGCCCGACATGGGCAGATATGGACTGTGGCCGTGCGTCGGCTGATGCCTTGTGGCTCCTTTGGGCATGGCTATTGGGGCCACTTGTCGTCGGGCGTCGGACGTGGACATGGGGGCGATGTGTTGATTTGGCTTTTTGCAGTATGGTTGGATTTAGGAGCGCCACTCCCTCAGGTTCTCCCTTCTCTTTCTTCCTCTGCTTGTTTTTTTGTTGCTCTCTCTCTCTCTCTCTCGCTTTCCCTCTCCCCCATTTCCCTCTCTCCCTTCCCTTCTCTCCCTCCCACTCCATCTCTCCCTCTCTCCAAAAAGGCCCGGGGGCACCCGAGTGGGTCTCTCTCTCTCTCTCTCTTTCTCTCTCCCTCTCATCTCACCCTAATTACCTCTCTACCTCTCTCTCTCTCACCCTCTCTTCGTGACCTCTCTCTTCCTATATGCTCTTTGGCCCGATCGAGCGCAGTGGCCCTGGCCGCCTCCAGCGGGGGAGGACTTCCACACCCAGCAGACCGCCATCCTGGACAGCCTCGCCAAGGAGGACCACCTCGCTGCAGCCAAGGAGCCTCGGAGCAGCGATAAGGGGAGGTTTAGGGGGGGGGCGGATCGAGGAGGAACGAGCGAGGTGTCCAAGTGGTACCAGCACTTTGCCTTGGATTCACCCTTTGGACCCCACTCGGCTCCTTACCGTGCGACTCTCCTCCGCCAGGGGCGGGAGCGGCCGGTGCCTTCGGAGCTTTTGCGCTTTTCTCGGCCGAAGTGTCCGCCTCAGTCCCCTCCTCCTCCCCCCTCCTCCTCCTCCTCCTCCTCCTCCTCCTCCTCCTCCTGCTCCTCCTCCTCCTCCTCTCCTCCTACTCCTCCTCCTCTCTCCTCCTCCTCCTCCTCCTCCTCCTCTCCATCCTCCCTCCTCCTCGGGAAGGTGCCAGCGTTCTGCCCCGACGCGCGCCGGGCCCGGCGCCGCCCGGCGCCGCCCGCGCGTGCGGGCACGAGCAGCAGGCGCCGGCTCTCTCCGCCGGCCTCTTCTTGTGCTCGGCGGCGAGCGCGCGGCGGCAGCGAGAGGGGGCGGGCTCTCTCTCTCTCTCTCTCTCGCGGGGGGCGGCGGGGCTCCGCGGGGGCCCCCTCGCCTCTGGGAGGCCTCGCGCGAGGCTTCTCCGAGGCCACAGGCGGGCCCCGACGCCGCGTGCGACCGCGGCTCCTCCTCCTCCTCTCCTCCTTCCTCCTCCTCCTCCTTCCTCTTCCTCCCTCCTCCTCCTCCTCCTCTTCCTCCCTCCTCCTCCTCCTCCTCTTCCGTCCTGCCTTCCTTCCTTCCTTCCGTCCTTCCTTCCTTCCTTCCTTCGAATGCGGGCAGCTCGGGGTGCGGGCCGCGGCTCTCACTGACCGCGTGGGTGGCCGAAGTTGCCACTTTGGGCTGGCCAGATTCCGATGTGCTTCAGGCGCCCTTCTGCTTCAAGTGCCGGGCTCTTTGTCCACTTCTCTTCGGGGGGCGGACGGAGATCCCGCCCACCTCCAGCGCCCTCGTTATGCACTGTTCCTGCCCACTTACTCCGACCGATGGGGCGCCCTGGTGTACTTCACCAGCCCGCTTTCAGCATGAGCTGCGCGTGATGTTGAGAACATACGGTCAGGAACGTTGGCTTAGCGTGTCGCGCCACCAGTTCTGGCCCATGGCGCTTCGGCGCGACACGCTATCCACTTCCCGGCCCCCCAGCGTCAACGTCCCGAGCCTCTCCAAGCTTCCCGCCCCGCGGAGCGGAGTGACACGCTGCCCACTCGCAAGTCATAGCGTGTCGCCGGGGCCGCCGCCGCGACACTCTCAGCGAAAGCTCCCGACAGTTGCCTTGAGCAGCCCTGCGCCGCGACGACCTCCGTGCCACGGCAGCGGCCGATGGCTGCGGGCCTGTTGTGAAAAGGGGGGGCAGCCGCGCGCGCGCTGAAGTCTGCCCCTGCTTTCGGGGCCAGAAAGTATACACCGCCACCACCTCCCTCACCCCCTCCCTCTCCTCCCGGGAGAGAGGAGAGGAAGAGGAGGGTAGAGGAGGGAGGAGGAATCGACGTGGTCGTGCAGGGCCCGCACTCATCGCCGCTGCCCCCGCCCAGGGGCGGCTTTCCCTCGCTCGGCTGCAACTCCTGGGAGGTTGCATTCAGCATCGGCGCTGACATATGTATGCGTGGTCGAAGGCCGGTCACATCCGGCACAATCCCGCTGACTCCCGCTTGATCTGGTTCAATCGGGCTTAGTCCTGGGCTCTCTCTGGGCTGCTCTGGCTCGATGGCCCCTTCATGGGGCCAATCGCTCTCACGAAGACCTTCAGCAGTTGCCTCCCATGTTCTATCGGAGGAGGATCGACTCGGCAGGAGAAAGCGTCAAGCCCCGAAACGCCGTCTGGGCCCCCCCTCAGTGTGGAGCTGAGAGCTCAAAAAGCAGTGATGGCAGTAGTTGTACCCCGCCCTGCCTGGCAGACAAAAACCGCCCAGGCCCCAAGGATACACCATGGCCGGGAGGCTCAATATTTGAGCACCCCTATAAGAGGCGAAGAATGCTCCATCCCAACCACTCCCAGCGTAATTCCAATCCTAGGGGGGAGGGGAAGAGGGGAGGAAGAGCATCCGTTTCCCCTTCCCCTCTCTCCGGAACCCAGCCATGACGAGAGGCCGCAAGGAGGCCCTTTCCGTAGACAGGTAGACAGACAGCACCCGTTCGTAGCGATCGGAGGCCGTCCAGCGGCGCCTAGCAGGCGAAAGGCGCGAATAAATTTCGGCCCGCGACTCTGGATTCCCTCCATCTCCTCCTCTGCTGCTACTGCTGCTGCCGCCGCCGCCGCCGCCTCCGTCGTCCGTCGTCGCTGCCCTCGTTCGTCTGTCGTCCTCTTCCTCGTCGTCGCAGCTCGTCGTCGCCGTCGTGTCGGTGGTTGCCGCTTTTCTCTCTGCCTGGACCTCTCGTCCTTTCGGGGCGCGCGCGAGGCCAAACCTAGAATCCTAGAATCCTAGGATGCTCCTCTTCCCCTCCCCTAGACTGTCGGGCCGAGGTGTAAGATCGAGGTCGGTTCGGGGAGGGTACCCTGGTGCTCTTCGTGTTTGCTGGGTGCTCTTTTGTGCATCCTGGGGAGGGTACCCTTGGATGCTCTGTCTGTTTTGGCCGGCGGAGGGTCTCACGTTCTTGAGGGATGGTCTTCTGGCCTAGGTCCGACTGCATGGCTGCTCCCGAGCGCCCATCGCCCAGGGCCAGACCGCCGGGTGGGAGCTCTTCGACCAGGCGGTGGCCAGCTGCCAGAAGTCGGTGGAGAAGTCCGAGGCTCGCCCCGGGGCCCCTCCGCGCCCGCCCGCCCCTTCGAGCCTGTGGAGCAGGCGCTCCAGGATCATCGCCGGGCCCCCTCCCCCCCTGACCTCCCAGAGAGCTACTTTTTAGCACTGGAGGCCTAAAAAACCTTAGAAACTGAGCGAAACAGCCCAGAACCAAGAGGTAGAATAGCTCTGGGATAGGTTTTTTATGTCGGGTGCTATGTTTTAGCCCTCCTGGAAGGTCAGGGTCCAGGATCGCCAGTTTGCGGTTGGATTTCATGGCTTCTCTGCGGCTTTCCAGCTCCGTGGCGCCCTCCAGCGGCTGCGCCTCGCCGAGAGCGTTCTCCGGGGGTGCCTGGCTCGCCCTGAGCCGGCCGCCGCAGAGCCGAGGCATGGCCCAGAAACCAGGTGGGCGACCTCCCCTCCTCCCTCCTCCTCCTCCTCCTCCTCCTCCTCCTCCTCCTCCTCCTCCTCCTCCTCCTCCTCCTCCTCCTCCTTCCTCCTCCTCCCCCGCCTCCTCCTCCTCCTCCTCCTCCTCCTCCCTCCTCCTCCTCCCTCCTCCTGCCTCCTCCTCTTCCGCCCGCCTCCTCCTCCTCCTCCTCCTCCTCCTCCTCCTCCTCCCTCCTCCTCCTCCTCCTCCTCCTCCTCCTCCTCCTCCTCTCTCCTCCTCCTCCTCTCCCTCCCCCTCCTCCTCCTCCTCCTCCTCCTCCTCCTCCTCCTCCTCCTCCCCCCATCCTCCTCCTCCGTCTCCTCCTCCTCCTCCTCCTCCTCTCCTTCCTCTCCTTCTCCTCTCGCTCCTCCTCCTCATCCTCCTCCTCCTCTCTTCTCTCGCCCGCCTCTCCTTCTTCTCTTCCTCACTCCTCCTCCTCCTCCTCCTCCTCCTCACTCCTCCTCCTCCTCCTCCTCCTCCTCCTCCTCCTCCTCCCCCTCCTCCTTCCTCCTCCATCCTCCTCCTCCTCCTCCCCTCCTCCTCCTCCTCTCCTCCCTCCTCCTCCTCCTCCTCCTCCTACCTCCTCCTGCCTCCTCCTCCTCCCCCTCCCCCTCCTCCTCCTCCTCCTCCTCTCCTACCTGCCTCCTCCCTCCTCCTCACTCCTCCTCCTCCTCCTCCTCCTACACTCCTCCTCCTCCCTCCCCCTCCCCGGTGCGCATCGGCCAGGCCTCCGGGCCTCCCCCTCGGGCGAGGAGAGCACGCTCCTCCCTTCTCATTATCTCACCTCTCGCTCTGACCGCCACTCCAGCTCGACTCAAATCCGACGCAAGTTCGACTCAAGCCGACGAGCGTTCGGCGCAGCATCGACGCATGAGTGGCTTCGGGTTAGGTCTCCAGAACAAGCACCCGACGTACATGGCCCCGCAGCAGCGCATACGAGGGGAGCGGGGAGGGGCTCGCGAGCGTTCCTGCGCGTGCCCAATGGGGCGAGCTCTAGCTAACCCCCCTGCACAACTCACAGCAGCTCTCCCTGCTGACTCCCCTCGCGAGCTCTGGCTGGCTCCCCCCGCCCAACTCCCCACAGCAGCTCTCCCTGCTGACTCCCCTCGCTCACTCCCCCGACGGACTCGCCCTGCCCGCTTCCGCGGCGACCCCAGAGCAGACGCGCGCCCAGGGAAGACTTGAGGCTGCTCGGGGTTCCCCTGTCTGATCTGTCTCGGAGGCCAGTCTCGACAGCGCGCCTCGAACTTGCCCGCGCAAACTGGACACCGCTTGGGATGCCGAGCGTCTGTCTTGTCTGGAGACAGCGGCGCAGGAGGGGAGTTGGCGGCGAACGAGGGGGGGAAGTGGGAAGGAGCGGGCCTTCCCAGAAGGCTCGGAAGTCCGCAGGCCTTCTGAGAAGTCGGAAGTCCGCCGGCCTTCTGAGAAGTTGTCTAAGCCTTCCCCGAAGACAGAAAGCACCTCTCAGAAGGCGCGAGGGCTTGTGAGAGGTCCGCAATCGCGCAAGGAGGCTACAGTCGGGGCCCTGAAGAAGGAACCCTTTCGGTTGGGGAGGGGCTCCGCGTTCCTTGAGTGTTTCACAGCTTGCCTCAGGTTTTCCTAATGTTTTCGAGAGGAAATCGAAGTTTAACTTATGGAAAAAAGGGGCCTCGTTCCTTATTTAGGGTTCCTTAGGTCAATGCCCCGACTGTATGCAGTGCATTGCAGTGCAGGCAGGCGCCGACTGCAGTGCAGGCTCAGCGCGAGAGCCGAGGCGCGCAGCCGGCGCGCGGGGGGCGGGTCCGAGGCCGGGCACACGAGCGGGCACGGCCCGCAAGGAGAGCTGGGAGAACCCCCTGGCCGGCGCACGGCGCGGGCTCGAGGCGGGCACGGAGGGCAACCAACACGGAACCGATTCCAACTCCTCCTCCTCCTCCTCCTCCTCCTCCCTCCTCCTCCTTTTCTCCTCCTCCTCCTCCTCCCTCCTCCTCCTCCCCCTCCTCCTCCTCCTCCTCCTCCTCCTCCTCATCCTCCTCCTACCTCCTCCTCCTCCTCCTCCCTCTCCCCTCCTCCTCCCTCTCCTCCTCCTTCCTCCTCCTTCTCCTCCCTCCTCCTCCTCCTCCTCCTCCTCCTCCTTCTCCTCCTCCCCCTCCTCCTCCCCCTGACGCTGCGGGCGCAACGGCGGTCTGTTCCGCCGAAGCCCGCGCCGCGCGCCCGCGCGGCGCGACCCTAACTTCCCTGCTCCCATCCTGCCTTCCCGAGGTCCTGGAGGTTGGTTGAGGTGGAGGAGCTCGCCCGTCAATAGACACCGTCGAGGGGGTCGTCGAACTCGTGGACGTCGAAAGGAGGCCTACCCCCTCGCCTCGCAGGGGGCCCCGCAGGGCTGAGGCCTACCCCCTCGCCTCGCAGGGGCTGCGTGTGACCTACCCCCTCGCCACGCAGGGGTCGTTCTCCTCGGTGTCGGTCTGGTCCTCGTCGTCTGAGTCTGTGGTCGCGCGAGCGTGCGCCGACCATTCGGCGGCCTTTGTGCGGACGCACTCCACGAGGTCCTCGCACATGATGATGGCCCTGTCGAAGTCGTCGCCGTGGGTCTCGCTCGAAGCTGCGATGAACAATTCGAGGCCGTCCTTCCCTTGCACTGCCGTGAGTAGCGCGCGCACGCCAGTCTCCGCCTGGATGCAGCGGATGTTCCTGCTTTCCTCGCCGAGGATGCGGGACTGCCATGGGAAGTGCTCATCGAAGTTCTCGGTGTCGATGGGGATGCTGTGTGTCATGGTGTTCGCGGTGGCCTACTCCCTCGCCGCGCAGGGGTCCGAAGGAGTCGTCGTAGTCGATGGTATCGCCGTTCTCCGCCTCGGAGCTCTTCGTCTCGCGGCGCTCGTGGCCTGCCCCCTCGCCACGCTGGGGTGCGCAGTGGCCTAACCCCTCGCCACGCTGGGGTCCGGAGGAATCGTCGTCGGCGAAGCTGATGCCGTCCTCCGCCGCAGAGCTCGTCTCGTGGAGCTTTTGGCCTACCCCCTCGCCACGCAGGGGTTCCAGGGCGTCGTCGTCGTCGAAGCCGTCGCCGTCCTCCGCCTCGGAGCCCTTCGTCTCGTGGAGCTCGTGGCCTCCCCCCTCGCCACGCAGGGGACCGGAAGAAAGGAAGACGCCCTCGGAAGCAGTGCCCGTGGCAGCTGAGCCGCTCGGAGCACCATGAGGAAGAGGGGGTGAGGCCGATCGTGCTCTCCGCATTTGGTCCTCCACCTCCTCCTTGCTGGGCGGGGGGCGGAGGCTCGGCCGCCAGCTGGCGTAGGAGCGAAGGGCGCTATTGCCGACGTAGCCGTGCTCGTCGGTGTTATCTGGATTCAAGGACTGCTTCTCGTTGGCGGAAGTGACGGAGACGCCGATGCTGTCGGGGGTCGCCGCTCCCGTGGGGTGCGCACGGCTGCTCCTCTGGGTTGCTGATGTCATGCGGCCACCACGCTTCTTGCCGTTCCCGCGGCGCTGGTTTTCCTGCGGCCTCGCGCTCAAGACGTGGATGGCCTGGTCGAAGTTGTGCTCGGCGGTGTTTCTGGATGCCCGTCCAGCTCCGCAGATATGTTCGGTCTCGACCCGAAGGCTGCGGCCTCGACCCTCTGCTTGATGACACGGGCTCGATGTCGTGCATCCTCGCGTTGACCTCGCCTTGCAGAGGGTCGGCCGCACCGACGGGGCTCCGCAGCAAGTCGTCCGTGCTTTGCCAGTTGTCCAGCTGTAAGTTGTGCCACCATTCTTCCCACCATGATAAGCGACGCTGAAGAGAGGCGATGAACGAAGCCTGCTCCTGCACCTTAGCTGTTGTGACTGCTCTCGCCTGAGTCTGTTTGCCCTTTCGTGCCGCTCGGACTGCTCTTGACCATGAGATGCTGGTTTCCTCGACGGGCTTCGCACATCATTGCGTAGGCGCGCCTTGCCCGAACTTCGCCATTCCTGCCACGTGCCATGCCATGCCTGGTCGAGCCAAGATGGTCGGGGCGCGCGACGCGGCTTGAGCCAAAATGGCTACGGACCCTCCTCCCCTTCCTCTTCCTCCTCCTCTTCCTTCTTCTCCTCCGTACACGTTGGTCGGAAGAAGTAGATGAAACCATGAAGTGGGAGGGCGGATGAAGTAGATTGGGTCCAGGCTGTCCCAGAGAATGACAGAACACAGCACACAAGCGTGCCGGTTCTTGCAGCAGGAAGGTGCTTGAAGTAGATTGGGATCTGGGGATCCAGAAATACCTCCTTTCAACGACTGGCGTGTAAGACGGGGGCACATCTCCGACTCTGCCTCTCTGTCTGCCCCCCTCTCCCTCGGCGGCGAGCGAGGGGGGGAAGGGAGAAGGAGAAGGCCTTCTCAGAAGGCGGCGGGACTTCTCAGAAACCCTCGCGCCTTCTGAGAAGTGTTTCTTTTTTGTCTTCGGGGAAGGCTTCGAGAACTTCTCAGAAAGCCGGCGGGCTTCCGAATCTTCTGAGTTTGGCTGGCACGGAGGGTCTCATGCTCTTGCGGGCTGTTCTTCTGTCCCAGGTCCGGCTGTACAGAGACAGTACCCAACGGGTTCCGCCACATGGCATGCACCTGCATTGCGCGACATAGCCTCCACCGCA